TGACAAAAAACATAAAGATATGTATTTGATTACACTGTTCAAAATTTTTGGTAGTTACCATGCATCAGTTATGAAAACAAGCATTAACATAATATTATTGGTTGTTAAAATAATTTTTGCAGATCCAAATTCCTCTTTTTTTTTTAAATTTCATTCAATATTTTTTAATTTTAATATTAAGATTAAAAAAAGGGAACGATTAGTAGGTATTTAATTAAACTATTATGTTAATTACTGTTTACAATAACATAGAACGTGTAAGCTCGCAATCTGAATACTGTCAATATTTCAAAGTTTTAATGTCTGTAACAGCATTTACTTAAGCAAAAATATTAATCTATTACGTCAGGAATAGTAGTTGATCAAATGAAGCTATCTGAAAAGAACTGGCATGGACAAATCAATTTAAAATAAGTATCATCTTAAAATTAATATTTTCGTGCCAATTATTTCTCACAGTTCGCCATTGCTTATTAATATCGCCTCATTCGTCTACCACCATATTATTTAAGATAGAATTTTAGGCTACTTAGTCACACCTAGTGCCTGATGATTTAATGAAGGAATTCAAAAGAAACTGGGGAAGACAAAAAGTTTATTAAAAATAAGCTCCTTCTTTAATTGTCATTTTGGTACCAATCATTTCCGGCATTTCACCACTACTTTGAAATATCGTCTTTTTATGCTTACTTAAACGAAAATTTTAGACTAATAAGTCACACTTTGCATCTGATGATCAATTGAAGTCATCCGGAAGGAAATGGGAAAGGCAAGCTCGCTAAACCCAAACATTCTGCTGAAAAAAATTTCATTTTGTTGCCAAGTATTTTCGACAATTCACCACTATTATGGACTATCGTCGTTTTATCTACCACCAAATAAATTAAACACGAATTTTAGACTAATGTGTCACACTTAGTCTCTGATGATCAATTGAAGTGATCTAAAAAGAAATGGAAAAGGCAGTTTGCTAAAAACAAGCATTCCCCTGAAAAATTATCATTTTGGTGCTAAATATTTTCCACAATTCACCACTACTTTGAAAAATCGTCATTTCATATGCTAGTATGCAACTTGAACAAGAATTTTAGACTAGTAAGTCACACTTTGTATCTGATGATCAATTGAAGTCATCCGGAAAGAAAGGGGAAAGGCAAGCTCGCTAAACCCAAATATTCTGCTGAAAAAAATTTAATTTTGTTGCCAAGTATTTTCGACAATTCACCACTATTATGGACTATCGTCGTTTTATCTACCACCAAATAAATTAAACACGAATTTTAGACTAATGTGTCACACTTAGTCTCTGATGATCATTTGAAGTTCTAAAAGGAAATGGAAAAGGCAGTTTGCTAAAAACAAGCATTCCCCTGAAAAATTATCATTTTGGTGCTAAATATTTTCCACAATTCACCACTACTTTGAAAAATAGTCATTTCATATGCTAGTATGCAACTTAAACAAGAATTTTAGACTAATAAGTCACACTTTGTATTTGATGATCAATTCAAGTGATCCGAAGGGAAATGGGAAAGGCAAGTCTGCTAAAAACAAGCATTCTCCTTAAAAAAAATTATCATTTTGGTTCAAATTATTTCCAACAATTCACCAAAACTTCGGAGTATCGCATTTTTGAAATAAGTCATTTTAAATACATTACATTAATGTAGTCACTTTAGTACATTTAACACATATTAAAGATTCATTTTCTTGCATTAAAGGAAAAAAAAAAATATTCTAAAGAATCACAACAAGATGCTGAAAGCAAACAAAACTAAGATATTTCGATATTTACAGAACAATAAAGGAAAAGAAAGTATAGAAACAAAATCAACTAAGCATCAACTATGCCATTGCTCCAGCTGGAAGCCACTATAAATCACATGAGGTAGATTAGAAAGCAGGGGAACAAATTCCACTACACTATGCACCGGAAACACCAGGGGGTGCTGGAAGCGAAGACTATCGACTTCCGGTGATTACTCATGATTCGTTCCTATGACACTGATGATTTCCTTATTCACGTATCTTACTCAAAATTTAATGGCAAAACACAATCGATTTAAAACCATGCGGATATCACTCAAAATACGTAAAACTTAAAATTTATGTGTTGCGACCGGAAAATTTTAAGGAAAGTTTGTTTAGAAAGTTTTGGCTGGTAAATTATAACTAACTATTCTATTTTATACTTTGTTAGATTACTTATAAATTATATCACAAAATATATATTATCTTTGAATTTTTGAAGTATTTATTTTGAAGTATTTTATTAGGATGTGGGTCATTGAAAACTTAAATGAGATTTAAGATATTTCTGAACTATATAAGAAATTGAATTATCACTAGAATAAAAAATAATTCCAAGCATTACATGCATATATTAGAAATTAAAATATCTTTACTGATAAAAAAATATTAAAATATTTTTTAAAATAAATTAAATAATATAGTTATTTTTTGGAGAAAAAAAAATTTATATGAATTTAAAATTTATTTAAAGAGAATTATAAATTAATATAAATAATTAAATGTAAATAAATGAACATAAATAAATAAATATTGATAAATAAAAATTTCATGAATGTTAAAGACTTTAAGCCATCTTTATTTAAGACTGATGTACTTTGAGAGGAGTGTCTAAGTGTTTATAAAGTTATGGGTGATATATTATAAAAGTTTTATTTCTTACATCACACTATGTGTGATTAATGTTACATTACATAACAAAATATACAGTTATTCTATTTCTTGATTACGTTTTAATTAAAATAGATTTAGGAGCACTGAAATTATCAAATTTTGTTAAGAATTTCTCTAGTTGATAAAATAATTCAAGCAAACAATGGTTAACAGTAGTTAGTTTAAATATGTTTAAAAGAATATAAGAAGAAATGTGTATCGTAAATTTGACACATGATGAACATTCGAAAAAAACTGACGCATTGACAGGCGTATTATTTTAAATCGCAACAATACCGGTTTTAATTAATAGATACCTGCCAGAAAAAAAATTATATCTTTCCCATTCTTAAATAATAAAAGGTTAAATATGAACAATTTTAATACTTTTATTTTAAAATAGCAAACTACAAAATAATCGTTTGAATTTTGACTACTGAAGTAGATTTAACTCGAGAATCGTTTTTTCGAATAATAAAAGATTAAATATGAACAATTTTAATACTTTTATTTTAAAGTAGCAAACTACAAAATAATCGTCTGCATTTTGAGTACTGAAGTAGATTTAACTCGAGAATCGTTTTTTCGAACATTTTATTTCACAGTAAATACAAATAAATTGATCGGATTATTTACAAGTTAGTGAAATACATATTTTTACACCCATGAAGAGGTAATTTATCAAAGGTTTCAGCTTAGAAACATAGAAAGTGAAAACAAAAACACAATACCGTGTTGAGCAAATTTACATTGTTTTCTTGTACATCAAAAATTCATTCTATATTTTTTTTTTCCTCTTCCAAATCTATGAACAATAAGCATCGTTAATGTTCTTTCTGAGGAAAAATAATCAAGTCGTTCGTAGACCTATTTGTGGGAAATGGAAGAAATGTGTATTAAGAGCTTGTAATGGATATCGTATATTAACCTTTACAAGGAGACATAATTGGGTATTAGCAACCCGAGAAGAAATGAAATGATTATGCCTGCCCATGTGATTTAAATTAGATTTAATTGAGTACTTGTACCTCAAGAAGAACATCATGGATACTCGCATATGTAACCTATGCCAGTTAATCACTTAAAATCCAAATGGCTTGCTAAACTTGAGCTAAGTTTCTCCACATAAGTTAGAATGTTAATTAACGTGAAGTTAATTGAATCCAGCGCCATATCAATCATCAAATTCGATAAAATATAATTATTTCTCTTCTACGTCTTTTACTTAACTTAGATTTATTATTTGGTCATGTATTTTATTGTAACTGTGATATGTTTGTGTTTTGCATACCTGGCAACTTCAATGCATAATAACATTGTTTATGTTCTACATAGCTTCATGCCTGTCTTTGTGTTAAGAAAAATATTCAGTGAAAAAATTGAAATCTTTGCCAAAGAATATCCGTAAAAGAAAATAGAATGTGTCACTTTAGATAATTGATTATTGAAGAGCTTGGCTTGCTAAAAATAGAAGGAAAAGAACAGTTGCTAACGTGAGCAAATACGTGTCAACAACCAATCAGCATCGAGATACACACACTCCTTCGAATACCTGTAAGCAACGGTACATGTGTTTGTGTCGTACCTGATTGGTTTTCGAATCGACAAATGCCACGATTTCCCAAGGATGACATCATTTGGAGATATCTGATTGTTTTTTGAAAGTAGTATTTTCTTCTGAAAGTAAAAGTATAATTTTGAAAGAAAAAAATGAATTTGAAAAATAATCATAATAATCATTGCATAAGTTTTTAGTTCAAAATTACTTAATTTAACTTTTAATATTTTTTGCATCAAAAAATCAACTATTTATTCTTGGTTTCTTGTTGCGGTTTGTAGGATTACAGAGTTCGATCTAGACAGGTAAAATTGTCGGTCATCCTAGGGTATTAAAAAAGTAGTGTAATTAAAAAAGTAGTTTTGGGCGATGAAGTAATTGGGATTTCAAACGAAAGGCAAATAATTTCTAGTTTTGTACGAGAAAAAATATGCTGATTTTTGACCATTTTTATCCTTTTTACTCTCCGATTAGCCTTGATAATAATTCGTAAGAATTCGAAAACGGTGCTTTCTTTTTACTAAATATTTACATGAGACCCTTAATGTTTATCTTTATTTAACTTTGTTTCTTTTTTTACAGGTTTTGAAATATAAATAGCGAGAGAGATCATCATGAAACAACCTGTTAACATGATGAGACCGCAAAGTGTTAACATGATGAGTCCCGCAAATTGCAAAGTGTATAGCGAACACTTTGCAATTTTTCTTCATATCTTACTAGAAATATATAATCAAAAATTTTGCCACTGAATTTAAAAATAATTAATAATAAAATACCAAGAAAGTATTTAGAGTCAAACACGAGTTTCGGAAGTAGCAGACAATGCCTTCTCTCACTAATTGGAAAGTCTGTTCTTCACATCGTTTTCATCTTTTTATTCGAAGGTGATTAATCTTTTCACCACATTTTGTTTCCTCGCTTTGGCAACACATCAACTTCTTGCTTCAAAGAAGTACTAATGTGCGTGACGTTGTAAGATCACAAACAAAAGAAAACTAATTCTTTTCCTGGTGAGAAAAAGAGATAAAGTCAAAGCGCGCTTGGTACATTTTCTGCTAAAAACTTTTTGGTGGACCGCATTGCAAGGGGTGTGGTTGAGTGCTCCAATCACTCCATCCATTGAACGACTATTGATCTTGCATCTGTCACTGTCAAACGGTCCTCACTAATCGCAGTTTGTCGCCAGTTATGTTGGCATGGAGACTTTATATGGGCCTTGGCGATTTTTTTCACTTTTTTTATTTGAACACATCATCTCTGAAATTACCAAGCAGATAGACATCAAGGGAAAAATAATATTAAAGGAAAAAAAAAGGAAAAACAGATGTTGATGAGAGACAGAAATAATAAAAAAGAAACTGACCTTAATTCCTTTAAACCTTTTAGCTTTAGTTTGAAGAATTACTCTTCTTATTGTCATCGCCAATTTGGAGAAGTAAGGTAAAAACTGATGTCACGTGATATATAGATTTGTCCTTAGAGGAGTAATTGGGGTAGAGAGCGAGCAACCCTATTCAACCCGCACCAAAGTAAAATCACGTGACTTACGGCAAGCGAGTTTTCTTCGCAGTCGCATTCTAATGTTATTTAAATGGACGTCTAGTTCTTGCATCAGCTATCTCGTTGAATGATTTGAATTAAAGATGGTTTTATCTTGTTGTGCTTATGGATGTAATGAGAGGCAAGTCACCGGAGGTCCTATAACATTTCACAGGTAAGATTTCGCATTATTATTCATTATTTTTACGATGATGTTTAAATAACTGTCCATCGTACACGCGTTGTTCACTTATTTTACTTAGAAATGTTAATTTTTTAAGCATTTAAACACTATTTAAAAATCTAGAATGCATTATTATAATATGCTAATACTATCTGGCTCAATTTTTTTGTCCTTTTAACTATTTTTATTCCCTTTAGGGCATTTCAATTATAAGTTCGTCTTTTTTCACTTGGCGAATTTTTTTTCTCGCCAAATGACATGTAAACAAACTTTTTAAATAGAATGCGTAGACTTATTTTGTTCATAATTATGTACAGAGATAATTAATTCTTTATTATTTTATGGTGGTATAAATTTATTTATTCTTTGTTTTAAATTTTGATAAGTTTATGATTTTATTTTTGAAAGGAAATTTCAAGCTGTTTTGTTTTGCATGTTAGTGAAATGAATAAATTACGTTATTAATGGAATTCGTTTTATACAAATTGATTGAATTTTCGCTGTATTATATACGATGAACTGATATTTTCACATTGATAATTAATTTACATCTCATTTAGTCCCATTATGTATTATAAACACTGGTAATTCTTGCTTGGTATTTTTCTAATTTTTAACTGGAATAGTATTTATTCTATTGCAAAGATTTTTAATTATTAGGCATACATTTTTAAAATCTATGATATTATGCCATTAAAAGCTAATTTCTGTGTCCAAAATAACATCATTGAATTATTATAAAATAATTTAAAAATCTTTTTTAATGTCTATACGTGAAATATAAAACTATGTCATGCATCAAACAATTTTATGTTCATTTTTAAATAATGATAAAATTAATGTTAAATTAATTTTTTTCTGCGTATGTAAATCTACAAGTTAATTATTACAGTTACATATAATCTTACATTTTAGCAAATACATTTATAGTACAAAAATGTCATAGTGAATTGTTATTTTCATAGTTACTTTTTCTAATGTAAACTATTTCAAGATGAACTCTCTTTATGCTATGTAATTTTTTATTCAAGTTTTCTTTTATATTTTATTATTTTTTTCTTTGCTCATATTTTTATATAGTTAGTTTTATTTTATTTTTTTACTTATTTTTTTGATAAAAAAATATTTATCCGCTGAAACTTAATTGTTTGGTTTCCAGTTTTCCAACGGATGCTGAAAGAAAAAAACTGTGGTTGACTAAAATTCGAAGAGATGATTTTACTCCTTCTAAATGCTCAAAAGTTTGCTCAAAACATTTTACTGAGGATTGTTTCGACCGTCAAAAATTTGGAGGCACTTGGTTGACAAAAGATGCAGTTCCTACATTATAAAAAAATAATTTGTATTGAAAAATTGGCTTTGATAGTTATCTTTTAACTGTTTTATGTTGCATTAAAAAAACATGTTTCATTACAGTTCTAAGTGGTGTGAAATTATTGCTCCAAACATACCCAAAATGGCTAAATTTATACTCTAAATCAAATGAAATTTGCTACTCCATACTAATAACCTCACTGGTGCACTAGAATTAACCAACTCTAGTGTTTGATACTCAAAATTATTGGTATATATTTCTGAAAGATGCACATTTATATTAACATAATTATCAAAGTTTCTTTTCGTAAACCAATATAATCTTTTCAAACTTTGGAATACATTTTAAAAATGAATAAATCTCAATGACCCAAATGACTGCAAACTTTCCTTACATAGTTTTTTTTCTTCTTTTAAATATTGCATTAAAAAAGACTTAAGTAGATATATAATTGATATTTTAAGAAAATTTGGATAGAAAATTAGAATCACTCAATTATGGATAGCATAAAAGTATTCTTTCTTCTGATAGCATAAAGTATCTCTTCATTTGAGGAAGATCTCTTTTGTAAAAATGTGCATATTTACTACAATTCACATTCTATTCAGTAAAACTAGTTGAAAATAATTTTTCATGTGACGTCTAAAAAATTGATTAAAAAAAATTTTATGCATTATTTTTATGATAATCGATTTTTAAAAAATATAATTTATTGAATTCATTTATATTGGGCAACTTCATTAAGTTGACAATCGTACATCGCATACTTTTTTAAACATTACGATGATAAGATAATAAAAATATTCGGTTGACAATTGATATTTTGAGGAAATTTACAATTACTTTTTAAGATTAAATTGAATTCTTTCTTCTTAGAGCCTAAAGAATTGTTAAAGTGTGTATGTGTATCAATGCATTATTTCATTATAAATTTTTAAAAAGTACAATTTTTCTAAAATAAATATTTTGAGCAACTTTATGAATTAACAATCATACGGCAAATAAACTCAGACAATCAATCGCCGGTTAAGCTCTCCCGAAAATTTCATCATCTTCAGATTCCAAAGGAACAAATCCAAATTGGAAACCACCTGAGGTGATCGATTATCTTGCGCCAAAGTAGCGATTGCTTTCCACTTATGAAAACTCGTTTGGCGAGATTGGGTAAAGTCAGCTGATTTACTTTGGAGCGGCTTTGCAAGTGGCAGTTGAATGGGTTTGCGCTCTCTACCCCTATTCCTACTCTAAGGATTTGTCAGATGTCCTTTCTCTAAATCCATCAAAGAGAAATAAGATTTTGGCTGGCTCAGTTTTTTGAGATTTAAGTGGAATTAAAAAATAACAACATCCACGTTTTTCTAGAATGTCTTCTGAGGGCCATTAAGTTGCATTGCATTAATCAATTCTCGGCGAACATATATCGGAATACATATATGCTCTCAAATGTCAGTACGCCATGAATTAATGTTTTGCCAGAACTGCTATGTTTAATTTAACATCAATTTATTATTATGAATTAGTAAAATATCAAACATCAAGATGTATCCAAAAACAAGTAACTTCCATGGAAGTCTGTGGGGATATAATTATTTGACAACGTCAACCTTCATCTATCAAAAGGTACCTCAACATCGAATCAAGTTAACATGTCTTATATACTAGTGAATTGGTATTTAATATTTATAGTGGTAGTTACGCCACATTACTCCCCTTCCAGAATTTTATCTGCGATAGAATTCGATGAACGAATACCACTAGTTAATTCATGCTGTTTATTTATTTATATTAATATTTATAGTGGTAGTTACGTCACAAGTCTACTGTAAACGACCTGTTTTTGGAACTCATATGTTAAACTAAAAAAATATATTATCGTTCAAATTACAGTTTGGTGGTATACAGTTATTACTGGTTAAAACAACCAGTGGTTTTTTTAATAAGTTATAGCTTTAACTAGTAAGGGCACTGAGAAAAGCATATGGTTAAAAACAGCCAGTATATTGCAAAACCAGTAAATGTGTCTCTGGTTCTATGGGAAAATCAAAAAGCACGGTAATTTTCACCGAAGGTCTGAGATAATACCTTTTAGTAAAATTAACAATAAAAGACGGTTCTATTACTATTATGCTTGGTAGTAGCTGTGGTAAAATGTAGTAATTTTAATTCAAAAGTCGGTAATTTTAACAATATTTCGGCAAGAGTCGGTAATTTTAACAAATTTTCAGTTCGGTAACCTCTATTTTGTTTAGTTAATACTTGTTAAGTTTGTTTTTCTTTGGTTAGCTGTTTTTATTTCTATGAAAACTATAAGCTAGCATCTATCAACCCTCTGAAAGTATAAAAAAAGGACTATAAAAAAGGACCTAGGCTAAGCTAAATTAGTAGCATAACTGTCATGCATCAGTACTCTGTCAACATCCCAAAATAGAAAAGTACAGATAGCAGATTGGAATTCCACCGTAACCCTGGAAGTACTTAGTTATTTATATTAAACTGTATATATTTATTTATTTATTTATTGTCACACGTTCATATACATGTTTGTATGCTCATTACAATGTTCAGTTTATAAGCCCTTAAGTCTAAATTAGAATAGCCAAGAAAACAAGACAAGATAGAAAAAAACACGAAAATTAGAGACAGAGAAGACAAAAATAGACAAGCTTGAGATGGACTCCACAAACACTTCCGTCAGGAATATGGTAAAATTGGAACACTTTGCCTCCATGCTACACTAGATATATCTTCGTGATGCCTTTCTCTAACTAGTGCTATCAGTTCTTCAACTTGACAACTTATAATAAGTCGTACATAAAAATTAAAACACAAGCCTGCACATGTATGTGAAACAATAAATAAATATATACTTAGTATCGTAATGTTTATTTTTTAATTAATTGTTTTACAGGGGTCTATCTGGCCAAGTAGTCTCGCCTTACCACCAAATGCTAAGAAAAAAAGAGACTGCGGGTTTGAACCCCACTGTAATCCCGGATGTGTAGCATTAAGTTAATAAATTTGGTTCCGATACATGTACAGGCTTATGTGTTTAACACAAGGAATGGTTTTTCTCTTGTCAAATCGAAGAACAATTAGCACAAAAATTACATAGGCAGTACTACGATACAGAACCCGTGGCCTCTACGCTTCATAGAGTAGGAGGAAAGAAAATACCCCTCACATAGGAAACTCCAATATTGAATATGTATAGAGTCTCGGTGCTGCCCTCTAGTGTGGCAGAAACTAGACGTCCAAATTAACATGACCAACGGTATCTCACCCATTGTGGTGGTCCTGAAAGAGTGGATACCACCTCTGGAGAACGCACTAGGTCTGCTCATCGGCAAGACCGATTGTGCAGATCATTGGAAGTAAAAAAAATAAAATAAAATAAATTATTGAATGGCTGTTTTACTTGTAATAAATGCTAGGAGTTTCCCTGTGATATCGCTGTTCTGATAACATCTTTTACAAAACTTGTGCTATATATTTTATGTTTTACGTGCTATATATTATATGTGCTATACATATATTTTAACGTTTTCAAAATGAAAATGGCTTTTAACATAATCTTTGTATTTAGTATATATCCTTATATAAAAGTAAATAATTGAGAGTTTCGAATCTGATTTGGCTGCTGAATCGTGGATTTTGTTTATGCCAATATTCATCTGCCAATCAGATACGACACTCACGCGTGACGTCACTTGCGTGTATTCAATCAACTCTGATCCGAGAATTGATACAACGTGATAATAAACCATGTTTAATATAGCTGTAACGTTAACACTCTATTTTGTTTATACACAATCAGCTAATTTAAACTATCTTCATCTTGAGTTGCAGTTACATATATGTTGCAGGTACCCAATTGTTCGTTCAAAATGGTTATGATTGTTGTTCATTTGTTGAATACTTTTCTTTTTCAGTTAGAGTATTTAATGTTAAGTGATACTTTTGTCAGACAACTTTGAAAAAATAAATAAAAAATTTTTAAAATAAATTTTTAATTCTATTAAAATCTAAATGAATTTTTATCTATAAATTTTTATAATTAAACTAGTTTTTGAATATGCGTTGAATGGTCACTTTGGGTAGATTTTTTTAAATTTTCCCTTTGCAGTTTGGACAAAAAATAAGAATAAGTAAGTAAGTATAATCTGTCTTAAATGCTTATTTTGAAATTTAAAAACTAAATATTTACTACTTTGCTTGAAAATGTGCGTCGTTGAAAAAACGAATTAAGCATTTTTTTAAACATTATTTTGGAAATTAAAGATTTGTTTGTTTTGATCAAAACTTAACAATTTTTCAAAACAATAAATTTTTTGTTTGTTTTGATCAAAACTTAAAAATTTTTCATTAGTCCTGTCTATAACTCATGTGATCAAACTCAACCTTACCGTTTTTTTTTTTTTCAAACGAAACAAAAATCTAAATGACCAAAACACGGCTTATTTTTCTCTACAACGCAACGAAAACTCGTAACCAAAAACAAGGCTTTTTTTTTCCTCACGGAGTGAAAAATCGTGAGTTTAGAAGCACGACTAAATTTGCATGTAAAACGCAATAACCAAAATTATGGCACACTTTTCTTTCTTCTTCTTCTTCTTTTTTTTTTTTTTTTTTTTTTTTTTTTTTTTTTTTTTTTTTTTTTTTTTGCATAGGAGCATTGAAAATTCACTGAATCCAAAATACAGTTTATTTATTTTTGTCCAAATGTCAATGATGTATTTATGAGGTATTTAAAATCATGTTATAAAAATACTTTATACATATTTTTGATTTAAAACTTTTTTGAAAACATCAACAGTTAAAAGAAAATAAACAATTGAAAAGTTTTCAAATTATGGTCTCAGACATTTTTTAATCTTCTTTTGAAAACACTTGAGTATTACAGTTAGTTACATCTGTGAAGTTTGCTAACAATGCACAACCGAGTGCATGACAGAAGAAAGGTTACATTATAAGGTACCAAAGGGGTACATTTTTTAGATTTATCTGGGCGAAGTGGAGGGAAATGCCCACTCTATAATATTTAAAAATATTTAATAGTGTTTATGCTTGAAGCCAAAAGCTCTTATTATTAAAATTAAAAAAAAGTATAGCACAACACAGAGCACGAGAAAAACTGCTTTATAATTGCCGTTCTAACAAAGAGTTGAATATGACAAACGAGCTTATTTTATACATCGTTGACCTTAATAATATCCTTATCTATCTCATTCGTAATTATTGTTATCGAAACAAAGAATGCCAAAAATAATTCTTTTTACAGATAAAACAATAAAACAAAAAAAGTTATCGCTTCATCAGATAAAATTCCCTAATTAAAGTGAAAAGATTTTTTCTTATTTCTGAGATGGTTTTCATCAAAGCCGATTACTCGATTTGCTAGTTACAAATGAGCAACTGATCAGTCAACGCCGCTGACTTTGATTTATGGCGAAATTAGTGGAACTAGTTTCTGGAAGAAATGAAGAAAAAAAAAGTTATACTAAAATAAATCATAGAAAAATATCGAGACTTTCTCTACGAATCGGGCGATTTCATCAGCTTTGTCGCAGTTTAGAAAGTTAACGTCGTTCGAAAACTCGATAACTCTTAAATTGGTTAAGAATGTTCCCCAAAAAAATGACATGATTTATTGCGTGTCTCAGCTAGAAAATTTCCTCTAAAACAAACACATCGAACGAAAAATCATTCTATCCACCCTTTCTCTTAACAAATTTTCTATTTTGTCCCTCCTACTTCTTTAAGTAGAACGATACACTGAAGCGACTGGGGTGGCACGGGGGACAGTCCATCCCCAGCTCTTCTTGGTTAACTTTTAAAACTTTATACTATCGGAGTTCCTTATAAGCAGAATGCGTGTAGAGAGTATTTCAGGAAACGGAACGATAAAAAAAAACTGGAAAAAAAAGTTCTTAGAAAACTTTTGCACCTTAGCAAAAGTTGATGCCCAAAAATGAGATAAGCGAATGAAGGAAAAAAAAAGGAAAACTGGATTGCGAATTTGGAAAAGCGTCTCTTTTGGGGGGTGGAGCTCTGGAAGGTCTATCTGACAGTGATAAATGTGACTATAATATTCGAAATTCCCCTTCCCCTTACTTCCATTCCGGGAAGCGAATGTTGGATAATCTTGCATCCAACCGATTCTTCTCCCCTTTCCCCTGCCTTTCCAAAACACCCCTTAAGATTCCATATTTTTGGAATTTGTTTAGAATGTATTTGAAAGTCCATTCGAATAA